AAAATTTTTAAAATTAAAATTTTTTTAAAAAATTATAAATTTTTCTTTTATAAGCAACTTCAAATTTTTTATAAATATTAAACAAATAAAAAGAAGTTTTAAATAGTATATAATTATAGTTTTTATTTAAAAAAAAAATTATAAAATATTTTTATTTTTAAAAAAAATAGATTAGATATGAATTTATAAAATTTAAGCAAACAAATTTGCCTGCTTAAACTGGACAGTTTAAGGGATAACTTTTGCAACTTATTTATAAAAATTTAAACTTTATTAAAAGCAAAAATTTTTTTATTTTTAAAAATAAAAATTACTAAGGATACACATAGTGTATAGTACATGAGTATTAATTTAAAAATCTGTGTAATATGCAAATCAAAACAACTTTTATAAAACAAAAAATTAAGCACTACTTCATGTTAGGGTAAGGGTGCATTTAGGATTGGGATAGATTATAGCCTATACCAAAATTTCACAAGGAATTTTTTTTTGTTAGAATCCAAAAGGTGATTTCATAAGCAAAATTTTGAGATATAGATAATATTTTAGAAAAAGCAATAATTTTACATTATATCTAATCGTGCAATCTGATTGGCTTTCTATATACCCATGTACAAACACCCCATGTACAAATAGAAATTGCCTTTAAAAATATCTGAAATTTTAAAAAATCTTGAAAAAATTTTAATAATAAAAATTTTTAAACAAAACTTTAAAATTTTATTACTTAAAAGTTTATTAATAATTTTAAAAAATTTTTATAATAAAATTTATAAAATATTTTTAAAAATATATTCTATAATAAATATATATCTATATTATTATAAATATATATCTATATTATTAATAAATTATTATTTATTTAAAAAATATTAAATATACTTTAATTTTTTAGACAAATTTGTCTAGATTATAGTTTAAAGAATAGATAATAGATAACTATAGGGTAGATTATAACTCATAGCAACCGCACTTATTCTTGTTTTATGTTAAAAATTTTATATACAAAACTTATAAAATCTGTAAAACAAAACATAATAGGTGCAAATCACTATAGGTGCATTTAATAGACAGATATAACGATAGCATCTGCAAAATTGATATTACAAATAAAAATTTAATTGATGTATGCCATCGTAATTCTAATTTATCTATAATAACATCATCTTTTAAGGGTATAAACAAATTTCGCCGACAACCATTTTCCGACAGCCATTTCGCCGACAAATTTGATCCGATTTAGTTAGGGTTGACCTGCGTTATAGTTAGTGTTGGCTAGAGATTGTTGGCGAATTCTACCAGAATCTCAACAATACGGCACAGAAAATGACGAAAATCCAACAATAACAACACAGACGAAATCCAAACTAAATTACGCAAATCGGTAAAATCTATACCATACTAATCCGGTGTTATATATATTAGTGTTAAGAATTATAGCTGATCAGTATAGGATGGTTTTTAAAACTGGATCTGCTCACCTATACCATACTGATTTGCTTTAATTTTTTGGCATTTGCATACAATCTGGTAAATAAATGCATGACCTCATTTAAGACTGCAAGTTTATTATTCGGAGCAATTTCGTTTAAATCATCGGCTATATGGTCTTTTAGATGCATATTCTCAGAATCATATTGGTTACCTAAGGAAAAATCCTCAAGTAATCAAACTATTAAATATAAATATCCTACCAAGATTATCGTTTGATTCACATCAGTTAAAACCAAAGTCACTGATAAATCGATTCTTGTAATGTGCTTTATCTTTGATTATCTAAATAAATAAAACATTTATGTTGGGCAAATGAAAATAATAAATTATAAGAATAGGTGTCAATACCATTTTCAGTTACCTTCATTATGCTTACCCACGTATTATTAAGAATCCAATCGTTCGTTTATGTAATTTGCTGACTATTTACGTTAATGCAATTTGCAATAAATTCAACAGTTGTCTTCTCCAATAGAGTTTCAAATTTCACCTAGTACTAGACGCTGGTCAAATAAATATCAGCATAATCTGAGAGAGCATCGTCAATAAATACACCAGAGTTAAGGCAGCGTGGATCGATATAAATTGGTATGCCCATGAGCTTATAGTTGCAGTATCATCTATTCATTTTGATATTCCAAAGTCTGTAATCAAGACTTTGCCGTTATCTAGTAAAATATTCTTGGAATGTCAAAAAACTAATAATGATTTAGAAATATAGTTGATTTGATAAGAACTAGAGAATCTAAAAAAGCCAAAATTTACTAAACTTCGATGGATAATGGTGTATTTTAATCCCGAAGCAATTTTCATTGTAATTTTGATGAGTTCAACCCATAAAATTTTATAACAATTATTAACGTGTTATGTTTTTAAATAATCTCGTAGATTACTGTCATCAGCAAATTGTAACAAAAGTATGAAATCATTCATTTATTTAAAGCAAAATAAGGATAATAAAGTTAATGATCCAAATTTGGACTCAAAGAATTGCTCTTTTACTATGCCTCTTGAAATTTAACCACGATAGGATGATTAATCATATACAAAAATTCAAGCTATATATAGCATTATATAATACATATTCAATAAATTTAAATGTTAAATTTAGATACCAAACAGTGAGCACATTACCTCACGTATGAATCGTTTAAATCACTAATAATCAAGCAATAAATTGTAAGCAATAAATTGTTTAGACTTTTTAGTACATACTTTTTTCCCTGAAAAACTGTCGAATACAAAATTGACTATTTTAATGAATTTGTATTATGCTAAAAATGTTATTGGCATGATAGTTTACATGTTCTATTTGATATACATCAGTCAATAAAACGAAAGTCCACCTATGAGTAATCAGAAGAGTAAAAAATTTACCTATGTTTGCGAAATTTTTTGAAAAGAATATTTTATATTACCAGTTACAACTTACGTGATTTAGTATTAAAACGGATCACAATATTAATCTTATGTTTCTACCTTCTGCAATACTAATAAAATTTACAAAAGTTTGTACAAAAGAGTACTTATTAGTTTGCAAGCCCAGAAGTCGATTCATTGACGCGAAGTGCAAGATGCAATGCCGCAATCAAAATATTCATACCTTGCTTGCGTATTCGGAACTTAAAAAAAGAGTCGTCTACTTATTTATTTGTTCAGCTGGTGACATCTATAATCTAGATAATCATTTAGCAACAATTACTAAAAGCCGTATTTATCGTTATACTTAAAAACGATTTCGAAAAGAGGAGCATATGTGGGGAGACTCCGGGCCTTGCGAGCATCCAAAAAGGACCCGGGGACGTGCGGAGTTCACGTGCACAGCAAGCAGGTGGGGAGACTCACGCGCACAAGCTTGACTCCCTTAACGAAACCGGAAAATGCTTATCTGCCCTGAAGGGTGGTGCAGGTTATTTAGATTAGTGTTTATATTAGCAAAAGAATGGAAAAATTTCCGATGCTTGCAAAAATTTTTGAAGACATTTTATATCACGGTTACAACTTACGTGACTTAGTATTAAAATAAACCAATATTTATCTTATGTTTCTACCTTCCGCAATACTAAATAAAATTTACAGAAATTTGTACAAAAGAGTAATTAAAGAGTAATTATTAGTTTGCAAACCCAGAAGTTGATTCATTGACACAAAGTGCCAGATGCACTGTCACAATCTACTTTCTTAAAAACAATTTTCGAAAAGAGAGCATATGTGGGTGACCTCCGGGCCTTGCGAGCATCCAAAAAGGACCTCGGGGACGTGCGGAGTTCACGCGCACAGCAAGCAAGTGGGGAGACTCCGGAAGCTCACGTGCATAAGCTTGACTCCCTTAACAAAACGAAAATACTTATCTACCTTGAAGGGTGGTGCAAGTTATTTAGGCTAGTGTTTATATTAGCAAAAGAGTGAAAAAATTTCCGATGTTTGCGAAAATTTTTGAAAGAAATAAGTTGCAACTTACGTGGCTTAGTACACAATATTAACATTGCGTTTCTACCTTCTGCAATACTAATAAATTTTAAAGAAATTTGTGCGTAAGAGTAATTATTAGTTTGCAAGCTCAGAAGTCGTTCACAATCGAAATATTTATACCTTACGTATTCGGATTTATTAAAAAAATAAAAGAACCATCTTATTTCATTGTTCAGCTGGTGCTATTTATAATCTGGATAATCTTTTAGTAACAATTACTGAAAGTCGTATTTACTAAAAAAACAATTTCGAAAAAAGGAGCATATGTGGGGAGATTCCGGGCCTTGCGAGCATCCAAAAGGACCTCGGGGACGTGCAGAGCTCACGTGCACAAGCTTGACTCCGGAAAATACTTATCTGCCTTGAAGGATGAAGCAAGTTATTTAGAGTTAGTGTTTATATTACTGTATTAGCAAAAGAGTGAAAAAATTACCGATGCTTAAAAAAATTTTTTTAAAAAGATATTTTATATCATCAGTTACAACTTACGTGACTCATTATCAAAATATATCTCGATATTAACTTTATGTTTCTACAGTACCTTCCGCAGTACTAAATAAATTTTATTGAAATTTGCACGAAAAAGTAATTATTAGTTTGTAAGTCCAAAAGTCGATTCATTGACACGAATGCCAGATGCACTGTCACAATCGAAATATTCATACCTTGCTT